TATAATGCATGCGATACTAGAATTTTCTACTATTAGTTTATTTTATAGCAAGCCAAGGGAAAAATAATGGCCGCTCGTGTATGAATAATGAAAATCGACAATATCGAAAGAGAGAGAGAGAGGGGGGGGGGGGGGGAAAGGACTCTACTAAAAGTGAAGGCACGTGTTGAAAATTGCAAATGTTAGGAGACCTATAAAGAAATTAAGCATGAAAAATGCGTTTGACGTCGTGTGACGTCCGAGAAAAGTATATGCGGCAATAAGGTCGTGACAAAAGGTCAAATGCACCAAGAGAGAAGAGAGAGACCCCCTACTTTACCTTCATTTTCCAAAAAGAATATTCATGACTATCATAAAGAGGTTTTGACCACCTGCTTCTATAATGCTACTCATCCATCGACAACTTTCGGTTGACCTATCTTTATATGAAAATTTTTGACTGAAAAAGCCTTATATGCACATTCAATGTGTTTGTTAGTGTGTGTGTGTATGTGTGTTTTCAGGTGAACCGGAAACTGCATGTCCCGATCGATATCACCATTCGTTTTGGCTCTCCCGCATATTCACAGACGAACAGTTATGAGTTACACTATCATATCTGTGAATATGAATTTACATCAATCTTACTCTCTCTCTCTCTCTCTATCTTCCCTCTTTCTCGCTCAGGTACATTTATATATACATATATATATTTAAGAACTGGCAAATTATTACAAGAGTATATTACACCTAATCTACAGTCCTCACTGATATTGCTGAACTCGACATTTATTTCGCCTCGAGATATTTACATATTATCAGAAAAATAAGAAACGAATGGTGGACGTTTGTAAATTAAAATAATTTCGTTTTACGTTCCTGATTTTTTTCTTTTGTGTAAATTTGTATATTGGTGAATTTTCAAGAAGTGACACTGGAAAGAACTTATTTCGATAAAATAAAAAAAGAAACTGTAATTGAGAATTTAAAGACAATTATATCAGAAAATTTTTTTTTTTTTCAGTAGTAAAAGACACGTTTAGTAAGGCTTTTTTGTAATTATTACATCGTAAAAGGGGACATATTGAATTAAATTTTAATACACTTGACCGCCCAGCTGAAAAAGTTCTATAGAATTTCACTAGAATCATTCTATATGAATTCTAGTGAATATTCTAAAAAAATTACACTAGAACGATTCTATTAGTATTTCTACATGAATTCTACTGAATTCTAGTGATTTTTAATCGGAAAAAATATAAATTTCGTGAAATAATATTTTTAACATTATATTATTATATGGTTACTTAGTAACCATATAAGGGCTCGAACTAGGTCCGTAAATCCCGTAAAGGTTCGTAAATTTGTTTTTAGTCCGTAAAAGTCAGTTTTTTTTTTAAAGAAGGTCCGTAAAGTCCGTAATTTGATTAAAAAAGGACAAAAAATTCGTAAATTGTACGATATAAAATTAATTAAAATTAGAAATTTTAGAAAAATTACAAATTATTGCAGAAATTTAATTATTTTCAAAAGTAATACAATTCTCAGCGAAAATTCAATTATGTTGAAAAATGTTTTTAAAGTCCCGTCAAAAATTCAATTATCCTTGTAAATAATAAAATTCTTCTTTAAAATTCAATTATTTTCTCAAATTTTAATAAAATTCTTATCAAAATTTCCATTTCTTTCAAAAATTTTCCACAATTTATAATGATTTTTAATATCTATTATTTTCATAAAATAATAAAAATTTCACAGAAATTCAATTATTTACAAATTTTTTTTTATAAATTTCTTCGCAATAAAATTCAATTATTTTTTGTATTTAAATAATTAAATTCTAGTAGAATTTTATAATAAAAATTGATTTAAAAATAAATTTCAGTTAAAAACAAATGAATTGGAAAATTCTCAAAAAACTATTTCAAAAATTATTTAAAATAATGGATTTATAGATAAAATTTAGTTAACAATAAAAAAAATTTAATTTTGGAAAAGTTACACATTATTGCAGAAATTCAATTGTTTTCAAGAGTAATTATTATTATTATTATTAACTGTTGAATAAATTATTTATTTTTGTATTTTAATAATTGATTACTCGTAGAATTTTCTAATAGAAATTGAATTAAAAATTAATTTCTGTTAAAATTTAAGATAATAATTAAATATTAAATTCTACACAAACATTTAATTATTTTCATAAAATAATAAATATTTCACAGAAATTCAATTATTTACAAATTTCTACGCAATATAATTCAATTATATTTTTAAATAATAAAATTTTTACAGGAAATCAATTATTTTTCTAAATAATAAAATTCTTTTTAGGAATTTAATTATTTTGATAAATACTAAAATTCATCGCAGAATTTTAATTATTTTTAATAAAATTTTATTCGAATTTCTTGATAAATGTAATTATTCTTAAAAATTAAAATTAAAATTCGTCAAACGAATTCAATTATTTAAAAATTTGTTGATAAAATTCTTTATGAAAATTCAATTTTAAGAAACATTCAAATATACAATAAATTATTTTTTGTATTGAAATAATTGAATTCTAGTAGAATTTTATAATAAAAATTGATTCAAAAATGAATTTCAAATATATAAATAAATAGTAAAACTCATAGCAGAATTTCAATTATTTTTAATCAAATTTTAATCAAATTTTTCGGAAAATGTAATTATTCTTAAAAATTTTATTTAAAATGATAATAAAATTCTTTATGAAAATTGAATTTTAAGAAACATTCAATTTTTCTATAAATTATTTATTCTTGTCTTTAAATAATTGAATTTCTAATAGAATTTTTTAATAGAAATTGATTTTAAAAATTAATTTTAGTTCAAATTTAAGTTACTAATTGAATATTAAAAGTAATGTGGAGTGAATTTTTAGAAATAATTTAATTTTAAAATTTTTTTGAAAAAGTGTTATTGAATTTTTTTTATATTAGGTACTTGAAGTTTTTATTTTCTAAATATATATTTAATTAAAGAATTTACAAATAATTAAAATTTGTAAAATTAAATATTGTAAATAAATGGATTTTGAAAATTGTAGAAGAAATTTTTTGAAAATTAATTGATAGAAAAATTTTAGTGAAAAAATTCTTAAAAATAATAATTTAATTGAAATGATGAAAATAATTTTGAAGAAGTACAATATTCTTATAATATAATATATTCATATAGATAGAATTATTATTATTATTTTTAGTGAAATTCTATACAACTTTTTCAGTTGGGCGATTCTTTTAAAATTCTTGTAATAAGTAGTAAAGGATATTTTTAGCAAGGCGAATTCTTGACAATTTTATTAATCAATATTTCAGTAGAAAAGAAAATTTCCAGTTAGACAAATTTTATTAAATTTATTAGAAGAGGTTATTTTTAGTCAGACCAATCACACAAAATTTAGTTAAAATTGAGATCAGAGATATTTTTTAAAATTTTGGAATCAGTAGTAAATGATATTTTTACTTTTTAGTCAGACAATTTTTTGTTTATTATATCAATCATCAGTACATTAGTAGAAAATTTTTTTTTAGTCAGACACATATTTTTGGATTTAGTTACAATTACCATTAAAAAATTATGTTCATAATTTTTGCACCAGTAGTAAGGGACATTTTTAGTCAGGCGGATTAATTTGTCAATTTACTGAATCAGAAAATTAGTAGAAAATGTAATTTCCAGTCAGACAAATCTCATAGAATTTATTTAAAATTGCGATCGGAGAATTTTCTTCAAAATTTCGATGTGAGTAGTAAAAAATATTTTTAGTCAGACGATTTTTTTTTGTCAATTTTTATCATCAGTACATTAGTAGAAAAATACATTTCTAGTCAGACAAGTATTTTCGAATTTAGTCACAATTGCAATCGGAGAATTCTCTCTGAAATTATTTTATTAGTAGTAAAGGTTATGTTTAGTCAGACTAATTTTAATTTTTTTCATTACTATTCAATTTTTTTTAAAACACATAATTATAATTTACATTTAATATTCTCACTGGAAATAATTCTCACCGTAAATTATGATTGATTTGATGAAATGAAAAAAAATGTTTCTCCTATTTGTATTGTTTATTGTTATTTTAAATTAAAAAAGAGAAAAAAAAATTGGTGTTACATATTGCAATGAAACTTGTGCATTTTGCACTCGTTACATTCAGTGGCTGGAGTGGGAAAAGAGAGAAAGAGTGAGGGTAGAGGGGGGGGGGGCTGGTTTAGTTTGAAAATGTTTGACTTTCTTCGAACTCCTGCGGGAAATTCGACCGAAACCACCTGGATTGTCGAATTTCTCGTTACCCCGAAAATCTTACATGGTACGTGCTCACGTTGAAAATCACATAGAATTCTTTTGAGACTCTCATGGGACTCGTATAAACTCATACAAACTCAGTTCATATAAAAAAATTGCTACCACTTCTTTCGTTAAATTATTACCCAAGCACAAAATGTAACACGAATCTGAGAAGTTTTATATATTTTTACTCCCCCTTCCTAGTTTCTTTCTTTTTTTTGAAAAAAGGGTAGAAAATGCAACATTTCTTTCTCGCTAAAACGAAATGATAAATTTTTATATTCCAGATGAAAATAAGTTTAAGAATATTTAATAACTGCATTATTGAGAAATTTTTTCCGCGATTATTTTTTTTTGAGAATTTTCTTTCAAATATTTAAATTTTTTTGCTTTTCTTTATTTTTTTCTGTTTTGTTTATTTTATTTTCTTTATTATCTTTCTATTTTTTTATTTTTGTATCTTCTGCATTAATTATTATTTCAGTTTCTTTCTTTATTTACGTCTTTATTTTACTTTTTTTCACGTTAATTTATGGCCTTTATTTACTATTTATTTATTGTTTTTTATTTTATACAATTTATTTTGTTTATAAATAAATAAAAGAATAGTATTTTATTTGTTTTCTCTATTAATTTATTTCATGTATTTTATCATTTATTATTTAAAGAGTGAATTTTAATTTCAATTGAATTGAATGACTCACCTAATTCTGGACCGCAGACACGTGGTATTATTTCCAAAATGGCACTGCAAGATGAATCGTCAAAGCACAATTGTCGAGCGAATAGACAATTTAAAATTGCTATCGGTGCTTTTATATCGGATCCTGTAACAATAAAAAAAAATTTACATATTTAATTTACTTTTCCTTCATATAAAAAATTTTTTTTTTTTCCAAAAGAAAAATTCTATTATTTTCTCCAATAGTAATTTGCGAGACTTTTTAATTTTCTCGAATAAAACTATTTAAAAAAAAATTGTGAATTTGACAAATTTTTTCTTCTATTCATTTTAATGAATATTTAAATTTCCCTTTTTTTCCCTCTCTTTCTTCTTCTCATCAGGAGACGTGTAAAATTTTATTCTACGTATCAAATTTTTAAATGTAATTAACTTCATTTTCACAGGTTTCCATTCGTCAAGGACTGATATAGAAAAAAAAAATTGGGATGAGAATACATTATATATATTTTCAACCAGAATTTATATTTATATATTTTAAAAGCAAAGGGATAAAAAGAAAATTAAACAAGTAGCGGAGTAAAAACAAAAATTGTTTATTTTCTAAAATTTCGAATCTCATATAAAACAGTATAATTTGTTTTCTGAAAATAAAATTACTACATTTGCTCGCTTTATAATTTGTCTCTCGGTTAATTTATTGCGCGCACGTTTTTAAAAAATACGTTTTATCGTTAATGAAAATAGTGTGGCTGTATCAAAATGAAATTTTTGTCGATGATATTTATATTAAAAGAGATGGATATTTAAATTTTTATGCACTTAAATTCACTTGGACGATAAAATTTTTGTTTTATTAATGAATCCTGTCAAAACTGTTTAAAAATTAATCAATCATCCATTTTGAAAAAAAGGTAAAATAAGTTTTAAAATAAATTTTATATTTACAGGAAAAAGGGAAAAAGATTTATTGTGTATTATAAGTGAATGTTATTATTTATTTATTATTATAATAATTATTATTTATTATTATAATAATTATTATCTATTATTATTTAATCAAGACAATATTTTTCTTATTAGAAATTAAAATTTTTTAAACTGTAATTTCATATCAATTTTAAACATTTAAAAAAAAATACATTTTTAAAAATTAAAATTCAAAGGATATCGAATAAAAGGGAATATCTGCAAAAATGTTAAATGTACAATATTAGGAGATGAAAAATCAGAACAAAGAAAAGAAAAGAATGGAGAGAAAAAAAAAAGAATAGAATAGTGAGAAACGTGGAGCGTCGTGATTTAAAGCGCTCGCGATAACGTTTCTTTTTATTTACGACGGAAACTCGCCTGGCGTATAATTATTCAGCGTCGCCGCGCGAAAAATTATTCTTTATTACTCAAATGAACATCCAGAATACCGAGGTGAGGAAACGAATGAAACGACATAGTTGAATAGAAACAACTCATTCTCACGGTTTATTTTTCTAACTCACTAAATACTTTCTCTCTCTCACTCTCTCTCTCTCTTATTTTATTTACGTTTTCTTAATAAAAATCCAATTTATTTTTTATTTTTCTTTGAATTGTTAAACACTAAACAAAACTGTTAATTCAAATTTTTAAATTTCGCTGTTAGTAGTAAAAACATATTTTTAGTCAGTCGATTTTTTTATTAACTTTTATCATCAGTACATTAGTAGAAAAATTATTTTTCAGTCAGACAAGTCTTTTCGAATTTAGTCACAATTGCAATTATTTTGAGTGAGGCAAATTTTACAAAATTTATTTCAATTATTACAGTCGAATTCCTTATTTATTTGGTCTTAAAAAATTATTATTTTATCAGTAATAAAGATTTCGAATAAAATAGTTTTTGTATGTTTTTTTTCTGTGTGTTTAAAAATTCAAACAAATATGAAAAACAAATAGCATTTTTAAAAATATAGATAAAAATATTTTCATCTAAAAATTTTTTGTTTCTCTCTTTCAATTATAACACTCGTTTTAATAGACAGTTCAATCATGAACAAAAACCTCGAGTTTAATCAATTTATAAAAAAAAGAAAAAAAAAATTATATACAATTTTTAGTTTTAAACAAAAGAGACAATTTTTTTTTTATTCACAAACGTGAATAGGAAATACTTTTAAAGGTAAATTGAAAACCATTATTTTTTTCCCCGAAAGCTTTATTCAAACATCTTTATATAAATACACCGAGTGAGAATAAAAAAAAAATTATTTAAATATTGTAAACATATTTTTCTAAAGGCTTTGTATTAAAAAAATGAGATAGAAAAAATAATGTAAATAAAATAATAAAGAATAATCCCGTATATTTTTTAAACAAATAATGAAAAAAAACAAATAAATACAAAATATAAAAAAATATGATATAAATGAAAACATGGAAATTAGAAAAAAATATAAATTTTATTTTAGGAAATCTGTACACTAATAAATACATTTATAAAAAAAATATATTTATATTATTATATTTATTTATTATATTATTATATTTACATGTAAAAATCTGAAGTAAAATCGCTCACGAAAAGTGGTTCTTTCAAAGTTTTATATTTACTTGAAATTGAAAATAATCGGCATAGCAATCGAAATTGACTGCAAAAAAAAAAAAAAAAAAAAAAATTTACGCACACTTTAGAGAATTTTTACGATCCTCTCGCGTATAACGGAAGTCAATAAAAGAAGCACCTTAACCTGTAATTAATTACAAAACGTCCCCTCTGTTCCCCTCTCTTATCTTCTCATTCCCTTTCCAAAAAAAACAAATCTACCATAAAGTGTATTGTGCCCATTGCAATTCACACGAATGCTCCCTTGGGAATGTTAGAACATTCGATTTTATCCGAAAACATCGTTCACAATCTGACCAATATGTAATTAACAATTCGTTTCTTTTTTTACTATTTTTTTTTCAAAAAAAGAGATTTTTTTTTTAATTTTAATTTTCATCTTCTTGATTTATCGTTAATTTTATATTTAATTTATTTACTTTTATTTTTCGCCATCAATTTTTCAAAATTTATTTTTAGTTTATTATTAATTTCGAAATTATTGCCATTTTATTGAAATTTCATTTTTATTTCTATTTATCGTGAGACTGTTCATTTTTAATTTATTATTAATTCGAAACTATTGAATTTTTATTCAAATTATATTTATCGACTGTTCCCTTTTAATTTATTTTCATTTTTAGTTTATTATTAATTTCGAAATTATTGTAATTTTATTAAAATTTTATTTATCTACAGATTATTTCTAATTAATTTTTATTTTTGTAGCTTATTAATTATTATTAATTTTAAAACTATATTTTATTGAATTTTATTTATCGACAGTTTACTTTTATTTTTAGTTTATTATTAATTTCGAAAATACTAAATTTTCTACTTCTTCATTTGTAGAAATTTATTTATTTTCAATTTTGTGTTATTTTTCGAATTTATTTTGAAACAAAAAAAGAAGAAAAAGTAGTTTGGTAAAAAAGAATTTTTTTTCTTTTCTTTAATTTATTTATTTTATACATTTTATTTATATTCATTTATTTTCTCTGAAATTTTTTTTTTATATATATTCTAATTTGTAATATTACTTATTCATTTTGCGTTTATAAGAAAGTTGAGAGCGTTTCTAAGTTTTTAAAGTATTAAAAATTGTCACAAAAAGGCAGACCCTCTGCCTTAAACGTATTTTGCATAATTTTACTGAAGAAACTCCGAGTTGTAAACTTTACTGAAAACTAATTATTAAACTGTATGTATATATATATATATTGAAGAATGCGTTATTAAAGTTGCGACACAAGTATTTTTCTTTCCTATTTTATTTATTCAGTAAAAAAAAAAATTTACGACTATGAATAATTTCTTCAAGAGAAAAATAAAATGGAAAAAAAATTCTTTTTAGAAAATATCTTTTTATTCTTATCTCGAGTCTTTTGAAATAACTTTTTGTATTCAATTCATTTAAATTCAATTTTTAACGATATTTTACAAAATTCAATTAAATACCTAATAATTTAAGAAACAAAAGAGTTATTTTGAATTAACGTTTTGGTTCTTGAAAAAAATTTCAAGTAAATTTAATTTTATTCAGTTTAATTCAATTCATTTAAATTTAATATAATTCAATTCAATTCAATTCAGTGAAATTAAATTCAATTAAAGTCGGTAAAAAAAATTCATTTTATTAAAGTGCAATTGAATAAAAACGATATTATAAATAAAAAAAATTCAAATAATACTTTTCGAAAAAAAATTACCAACATTCAAAGCCAAAAAGCACAAATATTGAATAATAAATAAATAATTATTATTCAACATTTCTCGTCATCAGTCTTAATTGAATAATTGAAAAAAAATTAAAGAATGTTCGTATAAAAATTAAAAATAGAATAAATTTTTCTTCCTGAAAGAACAGAACACACTATTTGAGTGATTCGTGTTTAAAGTTTATTAATAATTAATTGAAAATTCTAAAATTGTTGAACGATCGATAATTTAAAAATAAAACGTGTCAAAAGTTATTTTCAATGCAAGAGAAAAAAATGAAGTATAGAAAATTTTTCCCCACACCAAACTTACAATAACGTTAGGTATTTGACAAGAACAAAAATAAATTGCAGTCCCCAATTAGTAGAGACACGAATTAATTATCGTTATACACATGACCGTATGTATAGATATATTTACTATATGAGCGGCACATCTCTATGAATATACGCATGTTCATATAATGTTGATGCGGCACTGGGTCGAAATATCTCTCCCCCTATTTGCACTCACGATTAGATACAGCAAGTGTCCTTACAAAATTGAGCCATCATATCCTTGTTATCCGTAATTAAATATCTAAACACAATTTACCGATTAGTTTAATATTATTAGAAAATCGCTAAATAAATGAGGCGAAAGAAATTATTTATTTTCACTCAAGTGCCATTACTACCACCTTTTTTTATTGCTTTTGCATAAAAAATAACATATATTCTAACAGAAATTTTTTTTTCTTTCTTATTTATACCCTTATTTATTTATTAATTTTCTTATTTAAAATAGAAATAAATAATTAACTTAATTTCAAGAAATAAATGCATTAACCACTTTTCCGATAAATAAAT